GGCCGTGGGAGGCGCGCGCGGCGCTGGGGTTGGGATCCGGAGGGAGGAGCCGAGGCTGTTTCCGGGAAGAGGGGTCCTTCCTCTTTCTCTTTCTCTCTGCTCCCTGAGCAGCTTCCTCGGCCTTGTGCTCCCTCCCACCTGACGTCTACCTTGTCAGAGACCGAAAAGCAAGGGGACAACCGCAATACCCTGAAACCTCTAAAACCATGACCCAAAATAAACCTTTCCTTGTGAAGTAACATTTTGGCAGCTATTTTGGTACAGTAATGGGAACCTGGTTAACATACCCTTCTCTTTATTTTTAAATATTCCTTAGTACAGAGTTACAGCACGTGATGATTGCATTCTTTGTGGGGAGTTGGTGCGTGTGCGCGATCCATCTTAATTCTTTTTTCATCCCTTCCCCTCTCCCTCCTGTCTCTGTCTCTTGGTCCTGATCCCTTTCGCAAAAGATCTGTCTTCCTGTCTCCTATCTTCCATGTTGCTTTTTAATTTATTGATATTTGGGGCTTCTCAGATAAGAGAAGCTGTGATATTTTAAGCTTGTGTGTCTGATTCCTTTCACTTAACATGACGGTCTTGAGATGCACGCGCTTTTCTCCAAATGCCTCTCTGTCCTTCCATCTGCCGATGGGCATAGGTCCAAGACGCAGCTTTGAGTGGTTGCTAGAAACACGATCGCGTGTGCCACGATTCTGGCCCCTGCCCACCCACACACTCTTGCTGTGTCCTGGCCACTGTGTCCCGCACACCCGCTTTACCTCCAGCTGTTAGCATCCACCGGGGGCTGTGCCTTCCCCCAGTCAGCACAGCACAGGCGCTGATGCCCTCAGTTCAATCAGGATGGATCTGAGTTGGTGCCCAGCTCGCAGTTCCACCGAGGTCCAGGCACTGAGCTGGGGACTTGAGGCTCTTGCTGCTGTCATCTTCCCAGACCGGAAGGACTGGCAGACCGAGTTCTGCTTTCCGGAGCTTTTCAGCTCAACTTTGCAGTCTTCTGCCTGGGCAAGTGAGGACCTCTGTCACTTCTGTGTTGGTCTTTTTCCGCCCCATACACCTTTGCCCTCTCTTCTTCTCCTAGGTCTTTTTGCTCTCCTGTCCTAGATCTTTCTCACTCCTCCATCACGGACACTTCTCTTAGGGCCTCACACTGGCCTCTGAGACAAATCAGCACAGAACACAGGACTTAAAAATCTCCAGGCAGAGGTTGCTGTTGGGAGCCGGGAACCTGGCAGCAGGCGTCCCTTGTCTCCTCTCCTCCTCAGAAGCCCACACTCTCCGCTATGACCTTGCTGCCTCGTCTCAGGATGGGTCTGGGAAGACCCAGCTCCTGGCCCAGGGATACCTGGATGATGAGCTCTTCTTGCTCTCTGATGAGAAGAGCCAGAGAGCAGAGCCCTTGGGCCTCGGGGACAAGGGACATGCAGGATCTGAGACTTGGAGAGAAGAGACTGGAGACCTGAAGGAGAAGGGGCAGCAGCTGAGGAAGACTCTGGTGGAGTTTGTGGCCCGGAAGGGTCCAGAAGGGAGTGAGTGGGCCAAGCCGGAGCACAGGGTCCCCACTGTGATCCCTGAAGGCAGCAGTGGGGTGGGGCCCTGAAAGGCTGAACTGTGAGAGGTGAGGCCCCCCTCGAGTGCACCAGGTGGGGTCCTACACTGGGGCAGAGCAGAGGATGGAGCTTCTGGGCTCCTGTCCCTGTGGGAGTGGAGTTTCAGGGAGAGGGAGGTGACAAACCACCGCCTGGGATGGACCAGGCCTTCACACCCTCCAGGCTACCTTGGGCTGTGAGCTCCAAGGGAACCACAGCACTGCAGGCTTCTGGTGCCTGGGCTACAATGGGCAGGATTTCCTCAGCTTTGACCCGGGATCCCTCACGTGGAAGGCGACACTGCCATCAGCCCAGCAGAGGAAGAGGTTCTGGGAGACGCACGGCCCCATTGCTTCTCAAGTGAAGAACTTCCTGTATGAGTTGTGTGCTGTCCGACTCCAGAGATATCTGGCTTCCTCGGGGAACATCCCAGTGAATACAGGTACTGACCATGGGCAGGAGGCTCCGCTCCCAGAGATGGAACCTGGCACCCTACACAGAGAACTTTCCTATTACTCTGAGTGGTTCTCCAGCCATCGCTTTTGTTAGAGTCTGGGTTTTCTCTGAATTCTGTGAGGGTGCTGAACCTGAGGTGATCCTGATGTGGGTGGGCAAGGGGGTCTCCTCTACAGCCACTGATGGGTCCCTTACCTGGGGAAGTGTGAGGGGAGGGACTTTTCCCAATGTGGGCCTGGACCTGAGGCCCAGGCAGGCAGGAGAAGACTTCTTTCTCAGCCTCAATCTCTGGGATTTTGAATGGAAATGATATTCTTCTTATAGCCAGTGCCCCAGAGCAAGCAGGAGTAGCTATTTGAATTTCTGACACACAAATTTAGGCCCTATTAAACAAATGACCCATCAAAACATGGGCAAATGAAATGAATAGACACTTCTCAAGAGAAAAAGTATAAACGTCCAGTAAGCACATGAAAAATATTCAACATATTTAGCCCGAGGGAGATGCAAATCAGAACACCTCTGCGATGGCACCTTACCCTGGGCAGAATGGTTATCATCAAGAATACACAAAACAACCAGTGCTGAATGGACTGCTGAGGGTTATTGATGGGAATGTTAACTAGGGCGACTACTACAGAAGTCGTTATGAAGATTTCTTAAAAAGTTAAAAGGAGGGGCCAGGAATTTAGCTCAGTGGTGCTGCCACATCCCTCACCAGCTGAAGGTCCTGAGTGTGATCCCTGATAAAAAGAAAGAAAGTAAGAAAGAAAAAAAGCTAAACAGAGAATTCATTTGACCCAGTTTTACTTTTCCTAGGTATATTCCCAGAAGAGCTAAAGGCATGATATTATAGTGGTACATGCCTACCTGTTTTCATAGTAGCACAAGCCACAATAGCTAAGTTATGCGAACAGTCTGGATGCCCATGAACAACAGATGCGTGGATAGAGATAATAGAATTCATACACAGTGAAATTTTATTCAGCCATAAGGAATGAATTCATGCCATTTGTGGGAAAGTTGGTGAATGTTGAGAACCTAATGTTAAGTGGAATTGTTGTGGAAGGAATTGGTAAATGTACAGAGAAAGCAGAATGGGAGTAAAATAAGAAAAAGTTTATTTTGCCAGCAAAGGTCAATCACACTAAAGCAATGCCAGTGATCGACCCCCTATTGGGTTACAGCTTCTTTTCTAGGGTTTTGCAGCCATGATCTCATTCAGGTGGTTACACTTCAGTCCTCAGTTTACATCACAGTCACAAGATAGTTAACTTTAACCAGACATAACAGTTCTTTGCAGTTGGAGAATTTACCCTGAGATTCGCCTAGCCATCTATTCTAGCACATAGAAAGTGGGTGTTCAAAGGTTAGAAAAACAGAGCTAACGATTATTTCACCATCTTGACACTTGCACAGCCATATAGTTCACAGGGAGTTTTATAGCTCAAGGACTGTTATTTTAGCTTGAGCACTTGGTCTCATCCTGGGATGCGGCTCGGATATGTGCCTCCAAGCTTCAGCTGTGAGACCTCGGGTGTTTCGTTAAACAAGCAGAGCAAAGCAAATTACAGCGGCAAAAGGCAGTGGTTAGAATATATTTCTAACATTTTGTATGCTTTTAGACTATTTATATAAGTTCTCTCTATCAGAATAAGTCATACACAGAGCTTAGGTCTTGGATGGTTTCTCTTATACAAGAAACCAAAAATGTAAACAAAGAGTGAAATTCAGGAGAGATGGTAGGAAATGGAGGTAGACGGGAAAGAGGGGAAAGAAGGGTATAGGGAGGGTGGAAAGGGAACTGAAAATGATCAAAATGTGGTCATCCATGATATAGAACATATATATTCTCTCTATAAAATATATTTATTTCCCAAAACATATGTATCTTTTTTTGGTTTTGGTACCAGGGATCGAACTCAGGACCTTGTGCTTGTGAGCAGGCAGCGGAACCACGGAGCTAAATCCCCAGCCCATTTGTATTTTTTTTTTCTTTTTCCCCCAAAACAAATGTAAACATAGACCAATTTTTAAAAATTTTAGAGAGAATAACGCCTCCCTCCACCACAGGGGGGAGCCAGAGCATTGTTTATTATTTAGGCACAGGCGAGTGAGCTGGAACAGGCCACACTGGTGTTGCTTTAGGGAATGTAAAATTTCAACTCCAATGAAGAGAGTTGTCTACTAATCAGGATCCTAATGTATTTTCTCTCTCCATCGTGGTCATAGCTGCTAACACCTGGTTGGCTCCAAGGCAGGAACACCACGACAGGCGTAGTGGAGCAAGAATGCTCACCTCATGGTGGTCAGGAAGGAGAGCAGGGGAACAGCACCAGAGGGGAAAGGGCCAGGGACCAGAATAATCAAGGTCACACCCCAATAAGTCACCCAGACACACCCAGAAGTGTGCTTTACTAATTGGCTAGGCTTCTGTTAATCCAATCAAGCTGATAATCATTATGAATGGTAACAATCCAACCCTTGGCAACTTGACACCCAAATATCTTCTTAAACCATACTTAATCTCAGGATAATGAATCAACAAGCTCCTAATTCCAGCTGACAAAATGTAACTATCCTTTATACAACTGGGAATGCAGGAATCCCATCCTCAAAGTCCCAACAGTTTCGGGATTGTTCAGAAGTCAAAGTCAAAGTCAAAGTCTCCTCTGAGACTCAAGGTAAACGCTAAGCTGTGAACTTATATAGTAATTTAAAAATCCAAGTGATATATATTCCCAATATATAATGGTACAGGGTAAACATTGCATTCCAAAGGGAGCAATAGGGGCACAGAAAAGGATGAGACCAAAGCAAAGCCAAAATCCAGCAGGACAAACTTTAAGTCCCATAACTGTCAGACATCAGGGCACATTGGTGGTGAGATGTAAGGTCTGGAGGGTTTGGCCAGCTCCATCCAGACCTTGTGTTTTGCTGCCCAAATAGCTTTTCCTTGGGCTGGCTCTACTTACTGCCTGTAGCTTTCCTCAGTAGAAATTTCACATTTCTGGCATCTCCAACTTCCTAGGATCTCCACTGCACCTTTGGCTTTATTTCCCATGTGCACTGTCTTCTCAGGAGCACTTGCTTGGCCTCCCAGGATGTTCTTTGAAATCTAGGTGAAAGCTCCTATGACCACAACGCTTGCATTCTGCAAGTTGCAACAACCAGCATCACAGGGACAATGCCAATGTCTGCCACCAAATGAAAGATTTACATTTTGTACCCTAAGGCTTCAGTGGGTTGAGTGTTGCTGATTCCTAAGATGCCTTCGAGGTAAGGTTCTTCTTTTCCTAGTTCAAGGTACTTGTTTTCTTTTTAATGGCACTGATGTCTTCAGACATCACACCTCCTTTGACCCTAACTGTATCTTCTAGTCTGCCAGAGACTCCTGCAGTCTCTAGTTCCCATCTGCCCAGTATGCGACACAAGGTTGAAGAAAAACTTAACACAGAGTTAAAGAGAAAGTGTGAACTGTGACATCCAATGCTCCTTTGGCAAAAGGCACTGGCCCCTCTCTTCCACCGAATTTTATTATGCATCAGTCAGGGTAAAAGGTAAAATACGTATATAGATGTGCAATATGTGAAATTACCACGGAAACCAATGCAGGCAAGACTTTAAAGAGAAGTCGAAGCACTTTCAAATTAGAAGCAAGATCTACAAAAATATGGTTGTAATTAGAGCATTACTGAGCCAGATGTGGTGGCGCACGCCTATAACCCCAGCACTCAGGAGGCTGAGGCAGGAGGATCACTGTGAGTTCGAGACCGGCCTGGGCTCCACAGTGAGTCCCAGGTCAGTCTCAACTACACAGTGAGACCCTGTCTCAAAA